GAGACACCGCAAACTTCGAATATACAGCATGCGTCAGGGTCTGGATCGAACCCACGACCTTCGAGGTAGTTAACATCTCGCCACTGACGTTAGCCATGGCCGGGAATCGAACGCGGGTGGTGCGTTAGCCACTGCGCCGTCGCTCCATCCACACAAAAGAATAAGACAAAGATTCCCGTCTAGCCTTAACAGACTGTAGGGGCAAGTGCTGTTAGCGAGCACCTATGAAGGCCGGAACGGTACACGAGGGAGTGGGTGGCCAGCACCACGCCCGGCCGCCTTTGTCTCCCTAGTGGCAATGTTTACACACCGCACCAGGTACTCATTTGAGGCCGAGTCGACCTAGGGGAGGCCCGGGACCGGTTTCAGATAATCGTCACTGGTGTTGGCCGTGTGCGGGAATTGAACCCGGGTCGCCAGGTTCATAGCGCAGCGTAGCGCTAACCACTACACTACCGCTCCCCAGACACACACACAGACACACAAACATCGCTTTAACAACACACATTCATAATACAGTAATCGTAAAAAAACCACGTAAACTAAAATCTAGAAACCAGGGTGTCATTTCAAATTAAATTCGGAATGAATACGACCAGGGGAGTGATTTATGAATGCGGACATTGCGCGAGTCATGAATACAAACCCAGGGTGCATGGGGAGGAAAGTGAGTATCAGTGGAGTTTAATTGCATTTCGAATGGATAAGAATCGAAGTATCATCTTCCCTTGGAATAGCCTCGAGGCGCAATTGGGATGCAAAGTCGCTTCCAAGCGAGGGCTCTGTGCGCTGCGGTAGTGGAGTGTTAACTGCCTCGCTCGGTATACAGGAGGCCGTGGGTTCGATCCCGACACCGATTGCCTGCTGTATAATTTGGAGTTTGCGGTGTCTCTCTCTCTCTCTCTCATCATTATCATGACGGTGGTGAGGTGTTAACTATCTCGCCTGGTATACAGGAGGCCATGGGTTCGATCCCGACACCGATTGCCTGCTGTATAATTTGGAGTTTGCGGTGTCTCTCTCTCTCATCATTATCATGACGGTGGTGAGGTGTTAACTATCTCGCCTGGTATACAGGAGGTCGTGGGTTCGATCCCGACCCTGACGCTTGCTGTACGTTTGGAGTTCACGTGCCTCTCTCCCCGTGTTCGCGTGGATTTTTCTCCGGTTCCTCCGGTTTTTCTCTCCAAATGTAGAATGAACGTCACAGCCTTTAGAGTATTTGGCCGCTGTAAATGTGCAGCACGATGGCAAAGGGGCAGCCCTGCAGCTGCCGGTTTCACGGCAGCTGCAGACCGAAGGTCGCGGCCCCAGCTAGAAAGATCCAACCACCCACACCGCCCCCCCAGTCTCGCTCACCCCATGAGATTATTTAGATTGTTTTGCTGCTGTAAATCTCCACGCGTTTGCGGTTATTTCGGCTGCTGTAGATGTCCAACGTGACAAGCCACTTCGTTCAGCTGTCCAATTTTGACGTTTCGGGTCGCTCCTGGAAAAAGGGTGAAACGTGGGGGCCTTAGCGTTGTAAAATAAAATAAAAAAGCAAAATAGTTGAGTTTGTAGTTTTTCGGGCTCGGCTTTAACGCGGAGAGGTGGACATGTCGATACGGCGATGGAATTCGGTCGACTGAAGAATCACCGATTCACTCCGTCGGTTACCACTCCGTAGCGAGTCTCAACCATCAGACTTTCTCATCCCCTCACCGGATCCCGCCCCCCCCGCCCCCCCCCCCCCATTTATTTATCTATTAACCTTAACGTTTTACAAGTAAGGTTTATTTAGAATAGACATTCAAATGCAAAGGGTAAAAAAACACGTTAGGGGGTCAATTAATTGGCGGTCACGAGACATCTGGACCGCCCTGGACATCGCCTTTCTCCATCGCGCCCTTCGCATCTCCCACATCTCTCATTCCCCTCTGTCGCTCTCCCCTCGCATAGCCCCCACTCTCACCTCCCTTGTCTCGTCTCGTCTCTCATCTTTCTTCCTCATCCCTGTGTCTGAGAAACACCCCCCCCCACTCACTCCCCCTCCCCCCGCACCGAAAAAAAGCTTCAATCGATATTCCTCCCCGTGCTCTATCGCTCTCCACGCGCTTAAGTCAAAACGCGCATCCTATAGGCGTGGGCCACTCCTAGGTCACCGTGGCATGAAGGCAGCAGCTGCTTCGCCGTTTTCACGGTGCCCTGTGAATGACATCGACGCCGGGCGGGTTCGGCACGGGTTCGGCACGGGTTCGGCACGGGCTCGGCACGGGCTCGGCACGGGTTCGGCACGGGCTCGGCACGGGCGCGCGCGGAGGGTGGTGGTCTCAGATTTACGGACAGTCACCTCGCACGCCCAATTTATAGTTACGCGATCGAACACGAAAACTTTATCGTGATGAACGTTGGTCGCCGAAGGCCTTCGTGTCAAACGCCGATGCTGTGCCGTGCCCGACTTATTTGGTCGCTCACGGACGCTAATCGGAGGTGCCCGTAAAAGGCTGTGCGTTCGGCCTTGCCCAGACCACCAGCTCGTCACTGGTGTTGTTGTTGTTGATGGTGGTTGTGGCGGCGGTCTTCAGCCGGGAATCGAACTTGGCTGGCCAGGTTCGTGACGCCGCCGCGCTAACCGCTGCACCACCGCTCCCCATACCAACACAGCCGCCATTCGCCACTAAACGTCACCACGGCGCCTGTGCCAGGCTAGGTGCACTTTGAGGCCGCGTGAAGTGTCGAAGGCTTGCTGGCAGGAGGTCTCGGGACAGACCGAGAAGGTGCCATGGTGTTGGCTGACTGAGATGATCGGTAGATGCGCTTCAGCTGTACCCCCATACCACAACCACTGCCATCACATCACCATCGATCACTTGCATTGGCACACAAAACTCCAACACGGCACATATTTAATATCTTTATTTTTTTTTAAATGGCACTTTGATACGATAGAACACACCATAACGCAAAGGGGAAAACCACATAAATGTCACTCATTATTACATACCGTATAAGTGTGAATAAAGAAAACACGGTCCATACTTTGTACTACTTCACTTGATAGCATCGTTGTGCCAAGATCAAGCCGATCAATTCGACGATTTAATGCACGCACTTGAGACGGTCACGTGTTTTCGGTTCGTTTTGAGTTTGATTTGGTGCAGCAATAACACGACCAGGAAGTTCACAGAGCTCTGTCGAGTCTCTCTCTCTCGCGAGCTGACAGCTATGTACATGCAATGTGTGTGGCGGTCACATGACACATGACATGCATGCAAGGCAAGATGGGTAAGGGTTGCCACCCCTTATGTACACTGCAGACCAAACCCGGACCTCATTTCCCAGTCAGTACTCGGGTTACATTATTATTATCGACACTGTGCGGTCGACTGTGATGAGGTTTAATTCGGCAACGCTGATCTCGGTTACGAATCAATCCGTGCAGTCAGAACGGTCCCTAGGGTCACGGCGAATCGGGGCGACCGCCCAGGGCCCCGTACGTTGGGGTCGGGGGGCCCACGCAGTCTGATTTGCCCCGGGTCCCCCCCCCCCCCCAACCCCATGGACGGCCCTGGCTGTTACCACCTGTCCGGGTCAAAGCCGGACAGGTGGCAACCGAGCGGCACGCCAAAATTAATACAATTCATCAATAATTGGTGTGTGAGTGAGTTGGTTAGAAGTGATGTGAGTGGGTAAGTGAGTGGGTAGGTGTTGTGCATGGTAGAGATGCCACCTTATCCACTGCAGACCGAACCCCGGAAATCTACGTCCCAGTCGGCACGAGCGGCGAATTATGAAAAAGCGTTGCAGTAAGACACAGTTTGAACACAACACCGTGAGCAGATCTCGGTACAAAACAATTCCTGTTGCCACCCGAACACAGACACAGTATGCTGATTCCCGGACTGTGGCGGGTCAGACCGGGACGGGGTGGCAACCCTTAACGATGGGAGCTGTTCCCCTCCCCGTGTTGTTGAATCCATTACATTTGACCACAGACGATTCGCCACATTTTCTTTACGTGTGAGTTATGGTAGAGATTGCTTATTACTATATATCCTAGCAATACTCTTTTCCTTCGCTACACCGCTACGATCTATCGAACGAAGTATCATTTTCGTATAGTCTCTCAAATAGCACCCGAATTAATTCAGCTCAATGGCTTTGTAAAGACACGCCACCACTGACCGTAGAACAAAGTCCTCGCGCCGGTTGCCCAGCGCACTCGCGACACCACACGACGGAGGTTCGATTCCCCGGCGCGGCAGTTTAAAGAGCGATCGATTTTTATTAAATCCACCCCCCCCCCCCAACCCCCACCCCGCTGTGTCTGTCCACCCAACACTTATCGGCGGCTACACTACAGTCTATCGCCGATTGACAACTTCGCGTGTGGTGGTGGTGGTGGATAAAGTGTGGGCAACTCCCCAACGGATTCCCAATGTGTCCGACCAGCGTGGGAGAGTTACACCAAGTTAGCCTCCCTCCAGAGAGGAAGGTGGAGGGTTGGTGTGGGGGAGTGTAGTGCCGGATTATCCTCGTAGCACAAGTAGCTACGACATGAGTAGTAGCTACGGGCCCCGCACTTTCAAGGGCCCCGCGCTAAATGCTTTCAAGCTATCAATTCCGGTTGAGCGATTCTGCACTTGATCTATTACTATAATACTGTACCGCCTTCAACTTTTACGAACGACTGGGTGTTTAAGGTTAGCGACTTGTCGTATTATCTGGCTGTGTGGCAAATGAAAAATTACAATTACTTTACTGTGCAAGTGAAAATTTCGTGTTTTAATCCGGCACTGGGGGGGGGGGGGGTAGTTTGGAGGGGTAGTTTTGGGGGGGGGGGGGGGTCTCTTCAACTCCTGTCGAGTGGAGGCCCCATTTACGACCGGCAAGGGGCGAGGTCGTGAGCCATTTGCAAGGGTGGCTGCGCGCCTCCTCTATCTGCTGTGTCGAGTCGGGAAACACCACCACCCCCCCACCCCATGAATGTGGTCCTCCTAGACACGTGTTCTTTTTTGTTGTTAAACTTCAGCGCAAGTCTCTTACAGTGACATTAAACAATATAAATAATAACAGGCCCATCGTCGTCATCGTAGTCATCGTCGTCGTCGTCGTCCTCGTGAGAATACAAAAGTAAAGAATTCGACGGTCGCGCATCCGCCCTCGCCGGTTAACAACCGCCCGCACCCAAGCGCTGCATTTGTCCACGTTGTGCGCGTCTGTAACGTTCATTTGTTTTTTTTTATTAACTTTAAAGATGTTCACAGATCCGACCACGCGAGTTGGACACGCGACGTCACGCTGCAGCAGCAGCAACATAAATCAGTCGAAATTTCCTTCCCCGGGATCGTAACGGGGGGGGGGGGGCAGTGGCACAGTGGTGGGCAATTCCACATTCCCATGGCGTGGATGAGTCTCTCGGCGAAGATGGCCAACGTTGACTTCTGCGCGAGGCCGTACAGTACTTATTTTATTGGCCACGGAGGATACTGATGGGCCGTGGTTTTGTACTCGCGACTTTCCCCACCCCTCCCTCCCTGACATCGGGCCGGATTGTAAATCAGTTGGCGAGGGACGCTGGGAGTCGGAAAAAAACAAAACCGAGCCAAGGTTCAGTTGCCCCAAGAAACTAAAAGGGGCTCATGATAAAAAAAAAACATTATAATATTAGGGTGCGTTAAAATATCAGCTCAGACTCACGTGCTAAGAAAGCGAGTTCGTTATCATTTCAAACCAGTGAATTTCTCTCACCTCTCTATCATATCTGCATCTCTCTTCTGCCAACGCGCTTGGAGTTTATGAATTGAAAAAGAAGAGGGGGGGGGGATGGTGGAGGTGGGGCGGTTTGGAGATTCAACCCAAAACGGGATTAGCATCCACCGCTTGGCTACAATAATATTGATGACACACAACGATAATATTTGCAATTATAATAATCGTGATTATAATCAGGGTGATTGCCGGGCGCACGCATGCACACACACGCACGCACACGCGCGCGGTCCGCGGTCCTGACGTGGAACCCGCCTAGAAGCCGTCATTTTGCAGAATTATTCCCCGTTTCGTTCACCCTCGGGTCCGTCATTCCCGAGAGTCGATAAGAGTACGCGCCACCCCTTGCGAGCAAGTGGACAGCGGTTGTGCCACCCTAGGGGAAGAGACTCAGCAGCCGCCGTGAGATCGGTGGCACTTCCGCCACTGCCACTGGGCTGAAAAGCGGGAGGTGGGCGCCGCGTCGATGCTCGTTTCTTTGACCGCGGTGATCCCCGTTTGGTCTCCGGGAGCATTGGGACGCCACGGGTGTCGACGGTCCCTTGAAGCCCTCCTCGCCCTCCTCCTGCCCGTTTCCCCCCACGTCACCGATTTACACTTTTCTGACCAAAAATGAAGCCCGGTCGAAAAAAAATGAACGAAAACGGCGGGCGAGGCTCTCGGAATGGGATCGTGTGCTAAAGAGGTTCATGGCTTTGAGGTCAAATTAAGGGGTCGGGGTCAAGTGATGATGGGGTGGGTGGGGGGTGAGTTGAGAGGAGAGGGGTCGGGGGTGCCGGGGTGTAGGGCGGGGGTCAGCGGGCATGAGCGGTAGCTGCCCCTAGTTGCGCTCCTGACAGCTGACGCCAACGACGTTGTCAGGGCAACGGCAGGTGCGTCCACCGGGCGTGGCCAGGCACAAGTGCGTGCAGCCGCCGTTGTTCCCCGAGCAGTGGTTCTGACCTGTGTGTGGGGGGGGGGGGGGGGGGGTCAGATGAGGTCACGGTGAATAATAGAGCGGTCGTTGTTGGTATCGGTTTGGTTGACTCCACGGTAACAATGGAGAGTTTCCACCGAAGATGTCGTTTAGGTTGTTCATGCAAATGTTTTGTTACTTATTTTTGTTTCACCTAAAACGAATTGCGAAGAATAGTCTTCAGGCCCCCACCTGGTTCAGACCCTCGTGTTTATTAATAATATTATTATCATAATTTAAGCAATGTAATTTTGTCCAGTTCCGGCAATGGCAACGCATTACCACATCACACCTCGTCCGCTATCAATATCATCACCACCATCACTCCCATCACCACCATCATCGCAAAGGTCTATATTTGGGTTGGTGGTTTTCCATTTGGTTTGTCCTTCAAGGACCAATCTTACCGTCTCATCAGCACCATTTGTCCACAAATACACAAAAGAAAAATATCCTCAGTATAGCCTTAACAGCCTTTTGGGGTAAGTGCTGTTTGCGAGCACCTATAAAGGCCGGTATGGGTGGTCAACACGATGCCTGGTCGCCTTTGTTTTACACGCCACACGAGATACTCATTTGAGGCTGAGTCGACCTAGGAGAGGCCCAGGACCGGTTCAGATAATCGTCACTGGTGTTGGCCTTGAGCGGGAATCGAACTCGGGTCGCCGGGTTCATAGCGCACACACGCGCGCACACACGCGCACACACACACGCGCACACACACACGCGCGCACACACGCGCGCACACACACACGCGCGCACACACGCACACACACACACGCGCGCACACACGCGCACACACACGCGCGCACACACGCACACACACGCACACACACACGCACACACACACGCGCGCACACACGCGCACACACACGCGCGCACACACGCACACACGCACACACACACACACGCGCACACACGCACACACACACGCACACACACACGCACACACACACACGTGGGCACGCGCGCGAGCACCTAGCCTGGCGCATCCCCTGCCAGGTCTCCGGTGTCATTTCTCGATTTCTCGATTTCTCGTCCACTCGCCATGCTCTCTTTCTGCACCGGGGGGCTCCGAGCAAATTACATTTCGTGTCGGGGCCCAGCGGTTTGAAAAGAAATAAAATGACACCGTCTTTTCGCCCCCGGGTTAAGCCCCGCGCCATCAGGCAGGTGGGAATTTTTTGGAAAAAAGAATATGAAACAAGTAAAAAAAAACTGAAATAAAAATTACTTTACAATTTAATACAAAAGTGACTTTTTTTGGTCGAAAAACAACATTTTTTTAAACCAATATTTTCGATGAATATATTTTTTAAACGTACAAATTAAAAAGTAAATGTGCATAGCATTAAAAAAAAATAATTGTGACGGCTCTCGTGTAAAGATTTTGGGATGGAGGTTCATGAAGCCGTTGTGTTTCCCGTGGTTTGTGGGCCACGCCACAGGTGAGGGCGGCACGGTGGCTAGGAGATGTTAACTCCCTCGCCTGGTGTACAGGAGGGCGTGGGTTCGATCCCAACCCTGACGCCTATACTGTACCTTCGGTGTTCGCGTGCCTCTCTCCCCCTGGTCGCGTGGATTTTTCTCCGCGTCCTCCGGTTTTTCCCTCCAAATTTAGAATGAACGTCACAACCGTCAAGAGTATTTGGCCGCTATAAATTTGCAGCACGATGGCAAAGGAGCAGCCCTGCAGCTGCCGGCTTCACGGCAGCTGCAGGCCAAAGGTCGCGGCCCCAGCTAGAAAGATCCAACTCGCCCCCCCCCAATCTCGCTTACCCCATGAGATTATTTATATTGTTTTGCTGCTGTCAATCTCCACACGATGCGCCACTTTGTTGAGCCATAATTTGTGGCCTGGTCACTTCTGAAAAAGAGCTGCACTGTGCATCTCAGCGGGCCTTACCTGGTAAACTAAACAATTTTTTTCAGAATGTAGTTCAGTTTGTATCTAACTTGAGATAACACAACTTGGCTGAACCCCTCGATTTGAACGCAGTCGGTTAACTCAACGGGCCATGGCGCATACAAAATAATAACTAAAATAACAAAAAAACTACGTAGCGCCAGTTCTGGTTGTGTATGTTAATGGCGGACGTGCCTTTGGTGGGAATTAAAAAAACGTCTCATTAAAACCGAGAGGTTTTGGCCGGTGAGCCTGCTGAACATCTGTTCGGCAGATGTGTGAGCGTGGGCAGAATCACAACTCACCCGAGCGTGGCTTGCTTAATACGTAATGAAATGATGGCCGCGGCGGGAGAGGGATGTAATTATAATTCGCAAGTGGCCTTTCGTTAACAAAATTTTTTTTTTAGAAACGTGACTTTCATTTTTTTTACGATTCACAGCAACTCTCAACTTTACTGGGAGGTTCGCGCGAACTGGACGGGTATCGGAACATCGATTCCCAACGGTGATGCGACATCGCTCCCTTTGGTCGCCGCAGCGGCGAGATGTTAACTCCATCGCCTAGTACGCAGGAGGTCGTCGGTTCAATCCCGACCCTGACGCCTGCTGCTGTGTATTTGGAGTTTGCATCGCATTCTCTCCCCGTGGTCGCATTGTATTTTTTTTATCCGGATCCTCCGGTTTCCCCTCCACATCTAGAATCAACGTCACGCGTTTAGAGCATTTGGCTACTGCTATGAATTTCCAACATGATGATGATGATACGCTGCTTTAGTTGAGCTATTATTTGTGATAGCTCACGCTTTAGTTGAGCTATCATTTGTGATAGCTCAACTGAAGCTTGTGAATAAAAAAAAACAGCTACCTTTTATGTCATCTATTTCAACTTCATAATCGTGCTGTTTGTCGCTGGCCGTTTGGCGTTTCAGTGATTTTTGTGCATCTGGGAGCCTGCGCTCAACTTAAAAACCGTGGCCCATCTCCAATCCCGCTCATACGAGGGATCATGTGGGACGTGCTTTTCCTCGGCACAAAGATGTTCTGTTTAATTATATCATTATATTGTGTTTGTGTGTATATTTATAAAATGCTCTCATTAAACAAAACGAGTTGACGGTACAAATAGTAAATTATAAACCGCAAAAGAGAGGCGCTGGTTAACTAGGGGGATGTGGGTTTAGGGTCAGGGTTAGGTCATGATCTTCTCAAACGTGGATCTCGCTCTTGCGTTTTCTCTATCACTCTCTCTCTCACTCTCTCTTACTCTGTCGCTCTCTCTCTCGCTCTCTCTCGCTCCCTCCTACTCTCTCGCTCTCTAATGCTCTCTCACCCTCTCTTTCTCTCTCTTTCGCTCTCTCTCGCTCTCTCATCCTCTCTCATCGTCTCTCGCCCTCTCTCGCTCTCTCTCGCCCTTTGTCGCTCTCTCATTCGCTGTCTCTCTTTCTCTCTCTCTCTGGCCTTCTTACAGAAACGTCTTTCTCTGCCAAATTCTGCGTCGCGTGGATTTTACATAAATATTGCACTGTGGGAAGACAGTGGTGATGCTGTAGCACGGATGAAGAAGACAATGATGATAATAAAGGCGATGATAATCGTGATGGTGATGACAATGACGATGATTAACAAGATAACGATTTCGATTTAAAGCTTTCATGACTGCAGGGATTCATCTTCTTGGTTCTTTCGGTAAAGTCATGTAGAATGGAAATAAAATAATAAAAATAAAACATGTGGCTGAAACGTCGTGAGAATTTTATTTTATTATGTTTTATTTTTATTATTTTATTTCCATTCTACGTGACTTTACCGAAAGAACCAAGAAGAAGATAACCATTATGATGACAATGAAGATGATGCAACCAATGTCGATGATGATGATGGTGGTGGTGATGATGATGATGACGACAATTAAGAAGGCGATGACAATGATGGTGATATAATCAATGACAAAAATGACAAAAAACGACGATGACGATGATGATGGCAATGATTCCCAACGATTCAGGTGCTCCGTCGCAACAGGAGGGTGCTGTGGGTATATGGCAGCGATTCTGTAGGGGTGATCAAGACGATGGCGATGATGACAATTACGATGAATACAATGGTGATGACGGTGATGACTGTGGTGACGATGACCTCAACTGGTATATGTGTCCTGCTGTACCTGGGAGGGCACTCTGGGTCGACGGTGGTCATGCAGTACAGGCGATGAAAACAATGGCAATGATGACAATGATGATGACGACGACGATGACAATGATGATGACGACGACGATGATGACGATGATCGTGAGGATGATCTCTGTCACCGTAGCCGTACCCTGGGGGGTGGGCGCTGTGGGTAGACGGTGGCGATGCCGTGAGGGTGATGACACGATGCCAATGAGTATGAACTAAATGACAATGACGAATAGAATAATGACGACGATGATGATGACGATGGTCAGGATAACGATCATGACGACAATCATTACGACGATCATGATGATGATCGTGACGACGATCATGATGATAATCGTGACGATGATAATGACGATGATCATGATGATGATCGTGATAATGATCATGACGACGACCATGACAATGATCGTGATAATGATCATGACGACGATCACGACAACGATCATGATGACGCACATGACGACGATCATGACGATGATCATGATAATGATCATGACGATCACGACAACGATCATGATGATGCACATGACGACGATCATGACGATGGTCATGATAATGATCATGACGACGATCATGACAACGATCATGACGACGCACATGACGGCGATCATGACGCTGGTCATGATAACGATCATGACGACGATCACGACAACGATCATGACGACGCACATGACGACGATTGTGACGATGATCATGATAATGATCATGACGACGATCACGACAATGATCATGACGACGCACATGACGACGATCATGACGCTGGTCATGATAATGATCATGACGACGATCATGACAACGATCATGACGACGGTCATGACTACGACGATAAAGACGATGATCCCCGGTCGCCGTAGCCGTACCTGGGGGGCACTGCGGGTAGACGGTGGCGATGCCGTAGGGGTGGGAGCGCTGTGTGGGCGTGTGCTCGTCCGTCTGCTGCCCCAGCGACGCCGCGACCACCGCGTCACTGCGGTGACGTCACAATCGAGGGGAAGGGGCGGGGGGCCAGGGGGGTGGCGGGGGGGGGGTAGAAGAGGGGAGGGGGCAGTGTAAAAGTGGGATCGTTAAAAAACATTGCCACCGTTGTGATGATTGTGGACAACAAATGACGGTGGTGGTGGCCATGACAGGATACAAGGAGGCAACCTCACAATCCCGCACTCTCCTGTTGCTAGTTTTGTAAGCAATTTTGTATATAAATAACAAATATTATTTAGTATTATTTTTCTACGCGTGAATATTTGGTGATCGGGCTGAGAACATCAACTCATTACACTTAAGAACCCCGTTTAATCACAACGATGAGCCTACGAGTCTCTACATGAGTCTATGGCTGTCTATGTGAGTCTGGCGCTCTCTGTGAGTCTCTGAGTCTCTCTGTGAGTCTACGAGTGTCTATATAAGTCATTGGTGACCAGGCTGAGATCATCAACTCGCTACAAAACAGGTATATTAACCTGCCCACATCGCTCAACGCTATCGTAATTATGAAATTGCTAACTTTTTTGGAAAAACGCTTTCGCCATGCAAAACTAAACATTTAATTCCGAGGAGATTTTTTTTTTAATAATAACAATAACAAACAACCCAATAACTCAACGCCAATTAAAATGCGAACATCGTTTCGTGAAACCGGCCTCCCAGGGCTGAATTTGGACAAAACGGCTTCTGTTTGGCAGAGCGAGCAAGTGGAGATATTGATCCAGAGCCCCCCTCCCCCAGCCACCCACTCCGCTGACCCCCCACCCCCCCTCCCATCACTCCGCTCTCAGGAGGAGTTTTTTTTTCTCTGTTGGCCTGAGCTCAAAGCTGCCGGTGTCTGAGACACAGCGCGGATGCTCGCTCGCCCAGCGGAGCTTGAGGCAAAGTCGCCAGATGTCGCCCGATTGAACCTTCTCCACCGGTGCTTCTTCACCGTTGCTGCAGCCTTGCAAGTCGTGACAAAAAACGTATCACGTTAATAAAATGCGTAGGGTTTGATGAAACAAATTAAGTTGTTGAAACTTGCGTGCCCGCGCGCGATTTGTGTTTTCGATTAATTACCTTCGAACAAAAAATCGGGCCATTTCTCGCACCGCCCCCACCCCCCCCAGAAAGGGCATCTCGCACCCCCAGGGAGTGCATGCACCCCAGGTTAAGAACCACTGGGCTATGAGGTAGACTGTCGATTATCCGCGTGTGCTTTGTCCGAATTGCGGATAAACCGCGCGAGATTTTGACACTTAACTAACAAATCGTGGGGTGTCCCCCTCAAGCCCAAAGTAATTATCTAAAAACGGCCGTGCATTTTTATTCATGTTTATGACAAGTCACAGTGCTTAAACCGAACAAATATGTTGCTCCGGTTAATCCAAAATCCACGTGATCTCCTCTACAGTACAGTAGTTGCTATATCTTTACACACAGTGGGCGGAGCTTGATTGATGATGATGATTGGCGTGGCTCTGCTACGTCCACTTAGTGGGCCGGGTCGTCTGCGCGGGAGCAGGAAAGTGCAATTATTACCGAGCAAGCACATCGATCGCCCTATTGTTCATTACAAATTTTAGTTTTGTTCATTAACGAAATCAATTTTCATAACTTAAAGATCATTTATACCTATGTCAGCGTGTTTTTTTACTTGCAAAAGAGATCCGCGGAAAATGTTTATATTTTTGGATTATCCGCGATTTATTTTTTAGTATCCGCGACTTTTTTAATCATCCGCGGCCGTCCTCCCCGTCAATAGCGTGGACAATCGAGAGTCGACTGCAGTTAGGCTGTCCATCACACCGCCAGGTGATCTTTCCAAGTGTCCCACGGAGTGAATCGGTAATAAATCACAACAGCAACCCGTTTGCATGCATGTACGTGTTTAACTTCTTTCGCACCTTACGTAGCCAACCGTGCTAATCGGAGGTGCGGGGGAGGTGGGCCTGGGGGGGGAAGGACAGCAAACTAAATATAAATTTAAAAAATCGCTGGAGAAGCCCAATATAATGAAGTCGCTCGATCTGGCAACGAAATCGCTGTTGTTGTTGTTGTAACTTTCTGACTCGCCCCCTACTGGACATCTGTGAAAAAGAGCTTCATAGCTCATCGGATTCCTCCTACTCCAATGTTAAATCCAGCTGCTGATTCCGAACACCGTAGCTCAGTGAGGGCTGCGTTTTTTAAGTGCCTCACCCCCTCCATCCGCAGCCCCCCTCTCCCACCCAGCCCCCACCCTCACCCTTCCCTCCTCCTCCCCAAGCCCCCCCCCCCCCATCCCCCGTCTCGTCACAGAGGCTTCACTATCCTCCAGCACTGGGGCGGTGTGGGTGGCTCCGAAAACCGAACCGTCAGGCTCCCTCTATGTCCCTAACCGGCGGGCACTCCTGGAAATACAAACAAGGGCAGTGGAGGGTTGAGGTGTGGAGAGTATTTATATTTGGCTACTGGTGCTGCTGCTGCTGCTGCACATTTTTCACGCGATCATAAAGCCACTTTCGTTGAGCGATCATTTGTGGTAGCCAGGTCGCTTCTGAAATAGAGCCATGGAAAGCTCAGTGGGTCTTACGTGGTAAAATAAAATAAAAACTGTCATAGCTTGAGTCGTTGCGTGCGGCTGAAGAAGCGATACAATTCGCCGCGCTTCATTCTCTCCCCGTGGTCGCGTGGATTTTTCTCCGGCTCCGCGGGGTTCTCCCTTCGAATCCTACATGCGTTTGTGGAATGTTTGGCTGCTGCTATCAATTTCCACGTGACAAAGCCACTTGGTCGAGCTATCATTTGTGGCCAGGCCGCTTCTGAAAAAGAACCGTAAATCTCAGTGGGCCTTACCTGGTAAAATAAAATAAAAATAAAAATCGTTTAGTTTGTAGTTTATTTTCGAGGTGGGTGCTGGATATTGTAAATTATTCACATCACACACCCCCCCACAAAATCCCTCCGTCCCGACGCGGTGGTTCAATGAATTAATCGCCACGTCTCTCCGGCGCCGCGAATCAACTGGAAGGTTCGACGCCGCTTTGCGTGTGGCTGGCCTGATCGGTGACAAGTAGAGCACGTGTGTTTTGTCACCTCCTCAGTATAACGGAGCTTTCAGTCACTGCCCTCCCCGTCGTAACGCTTGGCGGGGTTTTCCCCGGGATCCTTACTTTCCGCCCACGCGCACGAAGCCAAAACACGAATTACTGTAAGCATATATATGTTGAGCAACTTTCACACCGTACGTAGCCAACCGTGCTAATTGGAGGTGCGGGGGAAGGACAACAAGCTATGGGTCTCTGTGTGAGTCTGTGGGTCTCTGTGTGAGTCTGTGGGTCTCTGTGTGAGTCTGTGGGTCTCTGTGTGAGTCTATGGGTCTCTGTGTGAGTCTATGGGTCTCTGTGTGAGTCTGTGGGTCTCTGTGTGAGTCTGTGGGTCTCTGTGTGAGTCTGTGGGTCTCTGTGTGAGTCTATAGGTCTCTGTGTGAGTCAATGGGTCTGTGTGAGTCTATGGGTCTCTGTGTGAGTCTATGGGTCTCTGTGTGAGTCTATGGGTCTCTGTGTGAGTCTATGGGTCTCTGTGTGAGTCTGTGGGTCTCAGTGTGAGTCTATAGGTCTCTGTGTGAGTCTATGGGTCTCTGTGTGAGTCTATGGGACTCTGTGTGAGTCTATGGGTCTCTGTGTGAGTCTGTGGGTCTCTGTGTGAGTCTGTGGGTCTCTGTGTGAGTCTATGTGGCTCTGTGTGAGTCTATGGGTCTCTGTGTGAGTCTATGGGTCTCTGTGTGAGTCTATGGGTCTCTGTGTGAGTCTATGGGTCTCTGTGTGAGTCTATGGGTCTCTGTGTGAGTCTATGGGACTCTGTGTGAGTCTATGGGTCTCTGTGTGAGTCTATGGGTCTCTGTGTGAGTCTATGGGACTCTGTGTGAGTCTGTGGGTGTCTGTGTGAGTCTGTGGGTCTCTGTGTGAGTCTATGGGTCTCTGTGTGAGTCTATAGGTCTCTGTGTGAGTCTATTGGGCTCTGTGTGAGTCGATGGGTCTGTGTGAGTCTATCTATATTGAACTTTTTTCACACCGTATTTAGCAAACCATGCTCATCGGAGGTGCGGGGGGGGGGGTGCAACAAACTAAACACAAAAATCAGTTCGAAAGAAATTCGTTTTCAATCTGAATTCAAAAATTTGTCGCAGTCCATTACTCGTGGACTCTGCCAAACATCCCAATGTGACGGGGAACCCCTCCTGACAAAGTGGAGATCAATTTTAACGTGCAATTTTATTGACGGGCTTGCTGTGCTCTGGGACTGTTGTTCATGTTGTTGCTATTGTTGTTGTATTGCTGCCTTGACCCAAGCTTGCAATTAGTGTCGGAAAATCGGCTGGAATGTATGTACTTATGCAATTTGTACTTATTTGTATTTATTAGTGTTTTATTTATTTATTAAAAAAGTATTTCCTTACCTTTCCCCTACTTTGCACTCCTATCGATGTTTTGTCGCTGTATTGTTTGCTGCTTATAACTCGCCGACCCCCGCGGGCCCTCTACTGGACATCTGTGAAATAAAAAGAGCTTAATAGCTCATCGGATTCCTTCCTCCAGTCTAAAAAAATAAAGAGACTCCGTCTCTGAGTCCTGGGATTCAGCCAGGGTTTAATGGATATATAAATAATGCAAGTATTATCATTATTATCGCTCTCGAGCAAAACGGCCACGCTCTCTTTCATACACTCGCGTTGCCGCTGTTGTTGTTGTCTTTAATATGCCTCATTCCAGATTTGAAGTTTTCGTGACTACAAGGATCCAAATAAATACAAATAAAAAATGATAAAATAAAAATTGAATTAAATAAATCACGACGTTTCGATTGCAAACACAAGCAATCATCATCGGGTGTGACAATCACAGCAAGATTTTTTTTTGATTGACCTCTTGTTCTCACGCTTATTGCTTCGCCGTTTAAAAATGAGCTGCGCGTCTTTCCGCGTCGCTCCATTGGCAGGGCCGACACGCGCCCTGTCCTCTC